TAAGCGAACCCCAATGAATGATAAAAGATTGACTTCACACAGCAAAACCAATTAGCAAAGTTGAATTGATATTTCAATTTAGGAAACAACTATTGGCAAACCCACTGTCAAATTTTAGGTAGAAATTCGGGATATACTGGACGAGTCAGGCAGTCTTTGTATGGTTGCGGCCCCCTTCGTTAAACCGCTTACCGAACATCATCAACAGTGTCTGGTGCCTGTGAAAAACCGAATGGACTAATCCAAACATTCACCATCTAAATTGATTGAACCATTCGCACCAAGTGATAGCCGTAGACCGTGTAGCTCAGGGGTGAGGGTTGGAAGTCCCGACTCAAATGTTCGCGGTTCGAGTCCCGACAGGGACACAAAAAGTACGCACTGCTGACTAGTCCCAAACAGGACGAAAAAGCTGTCCAGTGCTACTTGTCGGTTATCACAAACACTTCCACCGCCTAATCACAGAGTATTATTGTTTTGCATCCATTCTCAACGCTTTCCTCGGAACCGGCGTTGGTTGGGCGACAAAATTACACTTCTCTGGGGTTAAAAAGCGCGAGTACTTTGATGAGAAATCTGCCTGAGAAACCGTCCCACTCGTCGAAGAATATCATAATTGTAAGTTTCCAGGGCAATACTCCATCGCAGAATCATGGCGGATGTTGCTTTAGCGATAGAATTGTTGGGAATGACGAAGAATCGATGAATATGAAAATCTTAAAGTTCACTGTACGGGTAGCCAGAAACCACCTTTAAGACTTCCTTCTGAGTCTGCTAATAACATATCTCCGCGGATTTGAGCAACCTGGAGACACAAATTACAGGAAGTCCTTCTTGTTTCAACACGACACCAATACCCACCTCGGACGAATCTGTAACTAGTGTAATTGATTTTAANGAAGTGGAATTCCAGCGATGTTCCATTTCAATTTGTCATGGGTCACGGTCCATTTCCATTCCACAGCGGATTGTGCAATAGACGGAAATTGGGAATGAATCCTGGATAGTAACTGAGGCATCCCATGATTGAATTTAGATAGTGTTGATCTCTCCGGCGCGATATTCATCAAACTTTGGACTGGGCTGGGGCCCGATCGATATTCAAATATATATATGTATATACATACAAAGTCACTCGGAGAATGACCCCATTTATCTCCGTTCGCTTTATTCCCTTTAACACTCCATCGCGTTCTCCACATGGTAGAACATGCCTTTCAAAAAAATATTGGATCACTATCGGCCTCCAAAACTTCTTCAGGAACGCTCATTCCTCCGGCATTTTCAGTACACCGTACCACATTTGGGAGTTTTTGATTGGTATCAGATATCGGTTCACTCGTATTTAAGGAGAAGGAATGCTTCAGCATTCTCATTGCCATCAATCCAAGATTAGAAAGACTGTTTTGCGACCCTAAGAAGCGAATTATCATGGAAGTGTTATCGATGGAATGAGGAAGCATGTTTTTTTTCATCCAAAAGCGGAAGGAAGTGAACGGTTACACCATGGATTTGCGCTGTATTTGGTTTCAGATTAGCATATGGACACATGTTTGAGAGTTTCATATAGAATGATGGACTCTACTGCCAGTATTCCTCAATAAAACAGTGTCGTAATCCGGATTCCAAAACAATATTCTTGTAGACAAACTGCTTTTATTCGCCCATGATTCACAATGTATAAATCGGGTTGGGTTCCTCGTGACAGCAAAATGTACTTTTCAACAGGTTTCATTTCTGTTGAAGGCACACCTGAGTTTAGTCAACTTTTGTCAATTTTACTTCCTTTTAATGAATACACAATGACAAACATTTCAGGAAGAGGGAAGCGGCCAAACAAAGGGCTCGTATGCAACAGAGAATGGGGAAAGTTAGTTGGTGTTGGGATTCGAACACAGGTCCTGCGGGGTGATAATTTGGTGACGTTACCTCCAGGACACCACCACATTGTGCATCTCTAAATCGGCAGTTTGATCGTAGATAGAATTCGTCACACGACATACACCAACTAATGTTCGTTTTTCAGATTTTATGGCCGCGGAGCTTTGTTTTCTGAGCATGAGTGTTGGTGTTGAATCAAAGATCTACTCGTTCTTGAATTGCTCTGGAATAAAAAAAGTGACTCACGGACTATTGCTGCAATGAGATCATGCTGCTCATTTATCCTCCGAGTAACGAAGAACTTTAATTACTATTTTCTCAAGTAGTTTCCTGCTTGTAATAAGGTGGTCATATAATTTCTCCTCCGGTTGTTTGTTGAGCAACAAGATAAAATCTCGACACAATATTGACTCAGCACGAACTAAGGAATTGAACTTTGTCCTTTCTTCAGCTTGTAACTCAACGGGAATCAAGTGCGTAAAAAGTAATTGTTTGAACGTTTGCAACGGCAATTTGATCGGATTTTCAGATTAGTTGAGATTTACCAGCAAAGAAGACATTTGCTTTACACCAACCGTGCGAAATTGTATGAACTGCTCCTGTTTTCTGTTCTGTGGTATGGTACACCAGAGCTCGAAATGTTTGACTCATTCTTGAATCTCAGAGGGGTAAGAATGTAAGTCCAGGCACGCGAAAGTGTACCACTCCATGCCGTGAAGCCAACTGTAGTATTCGGTATGTAATAACGCAAACTCGGAATGAAAGTCCACTGAATAACGCGGTCAGGTAGAACCAAGACCAACTGTGGATACGGTTAATTCCAAAGAGGGAACTGGTCGTATATAGAGTTAATGAAGTGTGAAGTGAAAAGCTAGGAAGCCCTTCACAGCTGTTTCGACTTGATCAGGTTTCATCAGCGGTGCGAATCTATCGACCCAACTGAGGATCGAACCCGGCACCTCACAGGCAGAACGCAAGCATGCTACCCATGCGACCACCAGGCAGCTGATCAGACCGTTTTTCATTTGCTATTTACACGATATGGAACAAACCATCTTTGCGAGCTTGTTGCGGGCATCGCACCTCGCTCATCTCATCCCCGAGTCTAGTGCTTAGGCTACCTGGCAGTATTCCGCCCACAAGCAAATCATGAAACGTGTTTCTTTTTATAAAGATTATTATACCGTTATTTGTTCGGCACAGTCTGAACGCGGACTTGTGTGAAATACAAATACATACAAACAGGATTCCATGGACAATTCTCAGCTCTTTAAAATAAACTGACAATAACAAGAGTCACGAACAGTATTCTTGCAGTTGACGGTGGAACTCAGATTGAGACCATCAATCAAAATTTACTAAACATTTATAAATATAAACACTGTTTTCAAGTCAGTATCCTTATAAAAAAAATTAAACCGTTTCTATAGCACATTACTTTGAGCGCACAGTCGTAATTTTTTGGGTTACACGGCAGGCACCACCCGAGTAGTGGAACGGAAATTGGTACATGTTTACCAGTTCAATACTTATTACCCTCTGTAAAGATGCACAGCAGACACTTCGGATGTTGTAAGACTGAAACGGATATGGATTCAACTGTGAAATAAAGATGGTCCAAACAATCAAGTAGAAACAAATAAAGCGCGGGATTTTCGATTCAGTGATGCAAGTTATTTCTTCTGACAAAGTAACGGTCAGAAATTTGCACTTTAGGAAGCTAAGTTGAATGTATACGGTCCAACACGTGCATGTTATTGCTGACTAGTGAGGATAAAGAGTCATGAGACTGACTTTGATTGAAACAGTAAAGAGGAAGAACTACAAAACTGCGTCCACAAGTGGCTGACAGTGGCTAATTTGTTTTGATACCCTCTCGCTTTCCCATGCTAATGCTTAAATTTGCGGAAAACAGCTTCAACAAATGGACACGTTTTGTCTGCTATTCGGTGTATTGTTCGTCCGTTTAGATGACTAGCTTCGTTGACGAATTTTAATTCATTTAAAGCCTCCCATGTTGTCATTCACCATCTCCTTAGAGGAAGGAGAGGAAGTAAAAGGACATTTTTAAAAAAATTAGTTGTGTTTATTCGAAATCAATTCCAATGAAGACTTCATATTACCTTTTATCTGCTTTCAAGGACCGAAATGAACTAAATGGATCTACTTTCACCAGGTCGGACACTACACAGGTTATACCTTATTGTCCTTAAAAAGGTAAAATGTGGTCTAATATACTGCGAACTTGTTTGAAACTGTTTCTGAACGTGCGCGATGTATGCGTTTTGGTCATGTGTCAAACTACGAGCAACGCTGATCGCAGTTGGCTAGTCTGTCCCGAATTTTATATCAATGGACACCACGCTCACCGTGCACTATTCACACGAAAACCGGTTGGGATATCCGAAGCATCCAAATTAAGAAAGTTGTGAAATTTGCAGTTATCATCGGAAACAAAATATATTTTGTTCTAATACCATTAGCCGTCATAATCAACAATTCGCCAAATCTGGTTTTGAACCAATCTCGAGGAAATCTATCGGAAACCTAATAAGATAAATAACGTGACAAATCAAATGATTGGATCTATTCTATTTTCGCACCGATCTATAGCCCAGGCGCATCGTATTGCTGGACATCAATTTTGTACCTGGCAAGAGCACAGGAAAAACGTAAATAGCTCTGCTAAATTCAGTTTTAACCGCCATTTTTGTTCAGTCTTAGACCAATGGGAGCATCATAACTTACACGAGGAATATTGCGCAGTATTTTGCGCTCATTTCCGTGCAGCAGAACGCGTTGCCGTTTCAGAAAAGCGGTAAGTGTGAATGGAGATGATCTTGAAATGTGAAAAAGGAACATGCAGAGACAAAATCAGAACAATACATATTGTTGTATGAATCGAGAACCCAAATTGTTAATCAATGCAAATACCTACCTGGTGCCGAATACGACAAAAAGAGGAGCTGTGAATTGTTCAAATTGTTGGCAACTCTGAACCTGCAAGGCAGTTTGAATAGAACCGGGTCTATGGAAAAAATAAATTATTCGATATTACTTCAACTGAAACCCACCGTTTGTAACGGACATAGTGAATAGCTTCATGATAGGGTATGCGATTATTGTAGATCAAATAACAGGCAATTAGAGCCCCAGTTCGACCTATGCCAAACAATTTGTTTCGATGCAAATCGAGTATCACCTAAACCGGCGTGACAATGCACGACTATCTTGCCCGCCATCAAAGCGGATTGCATCACAGTGACCGCATCCAGGATTGCGTCGACAGATCCACAGCCAAAATCTGGCCTGAAAATCTTATTTGATCATTCTTTTCCACGAAATCGAATAAAAATGCGGGACTCACCATCTAAAATTGTAAAAGAATACTTCATATTTCATTCAGTTAGTAATTATGGTGTGCGAGAAAATGAAGTGTCAGCTGAACTCACTATTGTGTTTCATGAATTCGTAAGGATCATACGAGAATCCAGAAGCGCCAACACCATCTCCACATGCATTATGTTCAAATGCTTCTTGTAAATTGAAAATAGCCACAATGGAGTTTCTGGTCAGTTCATCATTAAAGAATATATGAATGGATAGAACAAACTGACTTTTGAAAACTCCCCAGTATATCGAATTGTCTAATGGTGTTAGAACTGGGACGAGAGGTAGCCAAAATATTCGGCGTTATCCTTTAGATGTCAATTAGTAAATATTTAGAATTAATACGAAACAAATTTACCATGTTGCTTGTAGTCCAGCCACGGCTGTGTTTTCCGTGGATTTTGCCAGAAACGGGCGACAGCGAGCACAACGTTTACCACCACAGAAGCCTGAGCACAAATGTCTTTGGGATAAACTTGTGGACAGAATGCAACGAGATCGTCCGAGAGGCTGACGTAACAAACGTTTTCGTGTCAATTCATCCCACTGCAGGCGTTCCAGAACAAAAGACATTCGTTCGACGAAGCCCAAAAATGCGGGCTATAAAAAACAGATAAGTCTATTCATTCGTGAGATGCGAAAATTTTACACGGAGTTTCAGCAGAACTTTTCAGCCAATAGCGTTGAAATGAAGAATGGAAAATCATTACCTGGTTATGCAAGAATCTGGTTCGTTTATTTTGTGAAGTTTTTAAATAAAACAAAGCCGTTCCATGAAGATGAAGTGCATATTATGATATAAAATAAGGTCAGTTTTAGTACAGTTCAGTTTGTATAACTGGTTATCATGAACTTCATGAGGCCGCTTTTGTTGTTGTTTCTGGACATCCATTTGGATGAAAGATTAGAGTGAAGATTAGTGTATTGAAAACAGTGTCAATGTAAAAATAAAGAATTCATAAAGACCATCGATTTTTAATTAGACAGAAGAGAGTAGTGTGAAAGGGGTAAACCGTATAATCCAACGGTTTATTGTACATGAGAGAGTAAAGGTAACATTTAACGTGGAACCAGCTTCTTGATTCTGCGTCAAGTTTTTATGGGATAGGTAGATGAATGAATGCTGCACCCTTTATTAAATAATAAATAAATGGGTGACTAGCGACTGACCGTGAGGTCCTAATTTTCTGATCGACTCAAGTTTAAAATTTCCTGTCTTCTCCCATTCTTCATTCAAATGGGCAGCCAAGAAACAGCAACCAAAATCGGCGCACAAAAGTGCATGGTTAATGGTTGTACAAACTGAAAACTGAAACATTCAGAAAGCCCAAAGCTGACTATATGACCGATTCTCTCGGTCACGGTTTTCATATCCTCATATCCTTCAATGGTTGCGGTTTGCGGATAACTGGTGTGCATCCAAGGTCTGTTTATTTGAAGTTTTTCTAGCCGGAAAGGAATAAAATGGGAATACAGCATCTTGCAGTGCAACGTTAAGCATCCCCTTGACATTGGGTATATATATATAAGCATAAGTGAAACGTGTTTAATTATTGCCCCAATATAAGTGCCGTAGAAGAATTTGAATTATTCTGAGAAAAGATTTTCAGAACACAAACCGGATTTTCCGGCTGAATTTTGCCCTATATTCTTTATAGAAGAATGAGATGTGACCCAAAAACCTGCGCACAAACCCTAAAATGGCATTCAAATGCATCTTTTGTCTTTTTATGGAAGGTTCCAGGGAGAAGACTAGTCTTTGATTACTTCTATGATTGACTGAGTAGTTTTGGGATAGGTGCTCCAAATAACTGCATCGTCGACGTAAATCGCGAAGTTGACTCCTAGTGTAATTGATAGGCCGTTTTGTATATTATTGTTATTTATCCCAACACGTAACCAATTACACAGAACTGGCAAATGTGCAACAACATGTAAACAAAAAGAAATCTGTGGAATGTGTTCATATGTTGTGTGGGCGTGTTACTTCCCGGATGTCCTGAACGAGGAAGGAGGATAACCTCGGGGCCCCCATCCGAAACCTGGCTAGAAGGCCAGACCTGCAAGACAACAGGACGGAGATCAGAGTCCGCAGTCCATTGGAAGTGGGTGTTTAGTTCATTGGGACATACGCTCTTTGGACTGGATCAAAAGTCCAAGGTGCCCAATCGAACCAGTGACCACTGCCACAGCCAGGAAGATGTGTTTATCTCGTACTTGGTTGGTTTGGAATCAGGGTTTTAGCCAACTCCCAATGGTCCACCGACCCGGTTATAGCTCCGGATGTCGGCTTTTCGTCCTCTCACTTTGATGCGAAAACATCTCCGCCACGAGAAGGCAGTGGGTAGGGCTTTCTCAGCAGAGACTATTTGAGACGCTCGGTCATATAGAAGCATTTCGCGAGGTGCAAGAGAAGAGTGACTAGCCACAACCCTAGACATCTACCCCGACCATTCTGAGGCTTACGGAAGATTAGACAAAGGAGTGTACCCAGAACTGAACCTTGGAATACCCCGGCAGAGATAGAAGATGCAGTCAAAAGATATAAGCTAAATAGCAATGAGAAAGTGTGAGTCGTCAAATAGTAAAAAAATAGTGCAGGAATCCTTCTAGTTAAATCGAATGTCACTTTTTCATGGACTAATGAGGTCTGGAGTTTCAGAAAGAGCACTTTGGTAAAGTAAATAAAGATGGATTTGGAGATGAAACCACCATCATACGCCTCGGTTGGACTGTTCATTGACGATAGTGTAATGGATATTTATGATATGCTTTGAAGGAAAGCATATTGGGAGGATAAGATTCCATCAGTTGTCAATTGTTTCAGGGTGATATGTTTAATTACGCGCTCCAAAACTATGTGGCATGTTTGTTAGACATATGAACCTGTAACTCCTGGGCATCGGTCAACTTCCTTCCTTAATTATGTGAAATATGGTACCTATTCACAAGGATAAGATAAATACACCTTCATAAAAACACTTCCGAAATAACTTAGTGTATAAAGGGACAAGAAATGCGTCAGATTCTTCTAGTACTCAAAGGTGTATTTCCGCTGATCACATCAAATTTAAAAGATTGCAGGATCAGTGGGTGCGATTGTGAATTTTTTTAACAAAGGTCAATCCACAGATGGATTAAGTACTAGACGAAGGTAAAATTGATATCATAGTAAGAGTGAGTGTTCAGCAATGTGTAGAAAAGATGTAACGATGAACCGTCACGAAGCTTTAACGTTAACGCAGAAAAAATGACTGTTTACGGCGAGGTGCCATAAGAGAACGAGGGTTGTTTGGAGCTCGGAAGAGGTGTCTTTACTGTTGACTACTGAACTCGGTAATTCTTAATTAGTACAGATTCCAGATTTGCTTGAATAACTCTGCTTTAGCGCCTAGCCCTGTGTACCTAGGTCTTGTGAATAAGTCTTCAAGTTCCTCAAGATTCTTTTCTGTCTCTTAGGTACATCTCTGTCGTTTATTGATGAATAAGTCCCATGGCAGTGAAAAGTTAGTCCTTTGAAGGTCAATGGCATAGGCATACAAGAGGATTATCGGATATGACAATTAAAATCCAATAAAAGCTGGTCGCATCTGCACAGTGAGAAGAAACATCCAATAAAATTTATCTGATATTTTTCTTATTAATCACCAAATCCCCATGATCTCGATCATTTGGATGCAAGTTTGAGGAATAAGAATGGCAGACTGAACAGATCTGTTAAGATAAAGGATTACTGCGTTTGTTCAGTCTCCGCTAAATCCTTTTGTTGGGCGAAATACCCCACTATTCTTATTTCTCTAGCTAAGGATTCCGGGGCTTAGTCAGGTTTCTGTTAGTGCTATTCTCTTTTTTAATCTATAACCATTTATCAAGCTCAAATAGTTTGTTTGTTATCCTTGGGCAGTTAAGGGGGATACCCTTCAGCACCTGATGACTATACACTTGAATGAAGTAAGTCACTGTCAAGTTTCTTGGGCACAATGATGCGGAGTCTGATTACCATTCGGTTTGTGGCTTTGGGAAGAAGTCCCTAGAATTAATTTTCCAGCGTTGTATGTTCACCTTTTGATGACTTGTTCGTCTTACTGAAATTTTGCAGCGTCATTCTCTTGTCTGAAAAGCGTGGTTGTTTTGTGTAAAATAAAAATGAAACCAGTCCGTCTAATGTTTTGTTCATTCACGGGGACTGACTGGCTTGGGAAATGAAGTTTTCCAGTAGCCCGGGTTCTGGTGGTAGGTATACTGCTCGGTGACGGACGGAGGTCCTCCGAGTAGTTGTCTGTTACTTGGTATCCGATTGTGTCTGAAACAAGAGACAGTTAGGAGTACTACTGTGATTTCCTGCACTTTTACGTAAGCATTAGCCAACACCACACAAACGTGGTTCATAAAGCACTTGCCACCACACGCTTCGCAGTGTTCCAATGGCGCCGACCGGTACAAAATCCGTTCCAGACAGCCAGGACGCACCACCAAACTATGCAATCATTCTTCCAGCAGTCCATGGTTTGCGCAGTACAGCAGGCCCGCTTAGAAAAGATGTTTAGGGGTTGTGTAAAGCATTTGGACAAGGTTGCTTATGAGGTCAAAGTCAGAGTAAGAATTGGGGAAGGTAGGGCAATCTTTCTAGGTGGCAGGAAGGGATCGCTCAGAAGATGATTTTACCAGCTACAGATATTGGGTTATTTTATCTTTATCCAGTTTTAACCTGAAAATAGTTGATGAGACAGATTATTTTGTTTTGGTATGGATACCTTTTTAGTGGTTGGCTTTGGGGAAATTAATATATCATTGGTCTGATGACAAACAGTGCAAATGGGTGACTGATTTTCTCCATTCTCAGTGAACCCTGATCCGTGAACTTTCAGATGAGATTGAATTTGTTAAATATTAGGAGCTTTTCTATTATGCGCCTCAATGTTCAAAGGCTTTTGAATTTTCTAAGATGTAGTTGGGTGTCCCAACCTAAACTTGCGGGAAAATAAGAACCCTTTGATTTTATCGTTCTGAGCAGACAGTCGTAAACAATCCTAC